CTCCAATGACCAGGGGAAAGCAGTGGAAGATGGCCAACGTTGCTTGGGACCCTAACACCCATGTGGAGAACAGGATGAAGCTCCTGGCTCCTACCTGGCTCATTACTGACTGTTGAGGCCACTTGGGGGTCAACCAGCCAATTAAAGACCTCACTTTCTCTTTCTCTGTGTATCTTCCTCCCTCTGTAACCCTGACTTACAAGTAAATAAGTAAATCTTTTAAGAAAAGTCACAGCCCAGCGCGGTAGTCTAGTGGCTCTAGTCCTCACCTTGAATGCACCGGGATCCCATATGGGTGCTGGTTCTAATCTCGGTAGCCCTGCTTTCCATCCAGCTCCCTGCTTGTGGCCTGGGAAAGCAGTCGATGACAGCCCCAAGCCTTGGGACCCTGCACCTGCATGGGAGACCTGGAAAAGGCTCCTAGCTTCAGATTGGCTCAGCTTCAGCTGTTGCTGCTGCTTGGGGAGTGATCGTCCTCTCTGTCTCTCCTTCTCTTTGTACATCTGACTTTGCAATAAAAATAAATAAATCTTTTTTTTAAAAAAAAGTTACAAATATTTCTGACAAAATTTAAAAATTCCGTGTTAGAATAATTCTGTGTTGAAAAAATGTGAACTACATAAAATAGCTGAAGAGATTTAAAATTTGAAATGCTTTGAAAATACTATATAGAAACTATTCACCAGCCTTAAAAAGGACATTCACTTCTTCTTATTCTTAATTGGCTTCAGAAGGGCATATATATCCTTCTATGACAACACAGATGGCCCAAAGTGTTAGGATATTGTGGTGAAGTGAAAAAAGCATTTTCACCAACAGATAAAAACATTTTACCTGTGTCCTTGCCCCTGGCATTTGGGGCTCTGTGAGCCTTCGGTCTTTCTCACTCAGCTTGTTCATCCTACCCCACAGTACTTTCCCATCAGTTTAGTACGTAACTGTGCTTCGCCTGAGCCCTTTATCTTAAGCCCATAGTAAATCAGCACACTTGAGCAACTTGTCTTGACTCATATTCGCTGCTGGAGAGTTTAAATAAAATTTAACCAAAGTCTAGCAGCTGCATGCAACTTTATGGCTTTGATTTTTTTTTTTTAAGATTTATTTATTTACATTGGAAAGGCAGATATACACAGAGAAGAAGATCTTCGGTCCTATGATTCACTCTCCAAGTGACTGCAATGGCTGGTGCTGCGCCAATCTGAAGCCAGGAGCCAGGAACTTCCTCCGGGTCTCACACACGGATGCATGCACGACTGCTTTCCCAGGCCACAAGCAGGGAGCTGGATGGGAAGTGGGGCTACTGGGATTAGAACTGGCACCCATATGGGAACCTGGTGCGTTCAAGGCGAGGACTTTATGTGCTAGGCCACGCCGCTGGGCCCTATGGCTTTGATTTTATATGTTAATCTCACTGCTGGCTGTGTCTATTCTGCTTATGCTTATTTTAGCTTAGGCTTGATTTTTGTTACCTGTTTTTTTTATCTTAAATTCTTTCTGCAAAGGCATGAGGGCAGGGCATTATGTGAAAAATGAAATCCCATTCTCAGATCTATTTTTTGTAAAGAGTGATATATGCACAATATCATTACTCTTGTTTTTCCTGAGTAAAGAATGTTGACTGCAGCTACTTTTTAAGTTGAATAGGTTTGTAAAGAGTTGAATAGTGAGTAAAGAGGCCGTCTGCAGTTCTGACATTCCACATGGGCACCAGTTTATGCCCTGTCTGCTCTACTTCTGTTCCAGCTCTCTGCAAATGGCCTGAATACTTGGGCCTCTGCTATCCCTTTGGGAGATCCAGATGAATCTCCTGGCTTTGGCCTGGCCCAGTCCCCACTGTTGTGGCCATTTGGAATGAGCCAGCAGATGCAAGATATCTATCTCTCTGTCTTTCTTGCTCCACTTCTACCACCCTGAGCAACTCTGATTTTTCTACCAACTACCTTCTACCATCTGAGTAACTCTGATTTTCTAATAAATAATAAATCTTTAAAAAAAGAGAAAAGTTTGAAGGATGGGTAACATTTCATAAGAGTAGATTGACGTGTTGTCATGTGACTAGGAATTTTATGAAGTTTGCGTAACTATAAATGAGGATATCTGAAAGATTCTTTTCCTTTCAGGTCTAAATGTGATAAAACAGTTACTCTAATAATCTGTATGAAGATATCCATCTTATATACAGCTTGTAACTATTTATACTCACAGATTCTTGGGTATTAATAGAGTTTTCTGATAATTGACTTTGTAGAGAGTAGTTTATAAGATAGTCTGGTTTACATAATTTATGTTAATGAACTGATGTCAACAGAATTAAATATTTTTCAAATTGTTATAATTGTACTAATGATTTATATTTAGCAATACTTTAATTTGCACAGGGGTAAACTCTATGAGCTCACAACTCAGATATGATCACGATTAGCTTTTTTAAAAAAATTATTCACTCAGCTGTAGAAATTGTAGCATCTTCCTCTTGAATTTCTGTTATCCTATGAATTATCCCTAAGAAGTTTACTGACTTTCAAGGTCCAGAAGGACTCATCAGTGGTTTCCATAGTCAAGATAGAGTGTCTGTTCACAATGAGAGTGTAAGGTCTGTGCAGCCCTCCACTGCCCTGTACTTCCCTGCCACATGGAGGTGATGAAAACCAGGTTCATAATACTGTGCCACAGGAGCTCTAGGTTCAGTATCAGGGAAGGATGATCCTCTTCTTGCCAAGCTCTGTTAGGATGTTCCTTGATGCCATGGTGAGCCCCTAAAATTATAGCTGTTAAAACCCATCGCTTGTGGTTTACATTATAGACACCTCACACTGTTGTTCTAAGAGCAACCCATACATTAAGTCATGACTGTTTGTAGTGTCTGTCTCTGCTTTAGAACCACATTTCCCCTTCTTACTGTGTCTCCTGTGCTATAGTTTTTACAAAAGGAGGTACCTGGGGTCCGGCTTTGTGGTACATTGCAGTAACCCACCTGTGTAAACACTGACATCCAATCCTGGAGTGCAGCTTACAGCCCAGCTTCCTGCTTATCTTCCTGGTAAGGCAGTGGAAAATGACCCAAGTGCCTGGACCCTTGCTATTTATATGGGAACCCAGAGTGGAATTCCTGGCTCCTGGCTTTAGCCTGGCCCAGTCCTGAGTGTGTCCTGAGTGTTATGGCTGTTGGAGGAATGAATCAGTGGATAGAAGGCCACTATCTATACCACCATCTCTCTTGATCACTCATCCTTTCAAATATATAAATAAATTCTTAAAGAAAAGAATATCTCCAAACCTCTGAGTTACTCACTTACCCTGTAAGCAAGGCTGCATACTACCAAGGACTCCAGTCAACTTATTCCTAATCTTATAAAGACAATTGCCATCAGTTTTTCAAGATACCCATTCTTAGGGAGCTTAAGGGAAGTTCCCCCAGTGATCTCTGAAATGTTCATGCCCACTCTTCTTGGAGGTCGTGATTCCAAAACAAATAATCTCAAATGGAAGAACCAACTTCAAATAATTTATATGTAAGACCTTTTACATTTAAAAGAAATGAAATAGATATGGAAAAGATAACAGTGATGAATTTAATAAAATAAATGCTGCGTGAATGTAGTAGAAAGAATAACTGTGTCAACTAAGGTGAAAAATGCAGAGAAATTTCAGATAATGAAACATACTGGCTCCTTGAGAGTTACTGGAATAGAGAGAGGTGCATTGATACTGGGGGTTCTGTAAACACTGTTTCTGCCACCACATTCAGAAAAGGTACATTGAACTCCAGAATAGAAGTGTATAGAACCCAAAGTTAGGAAAGAGGAAGGAAAAAAAAGATGTATTGATTTATTAAAAACACAAGAATAACAGAGAATGATCTTCACACGTGTTAGTTGACTTATCAGAAATGAGTCAGGCCAAAGCTTAGAGCCTTGAACTTCACATGGGTCTACCATAAGGTTGGCAGAGACTCAGATACTTGACATCGTTTACTGCTTCCAGGAACGTTATCAGGAAGCTGGATTGATAGTGGTATAAGCAAAACTTGAACCAAGCGCTGTGATATGGGACACAGATGTCCTATGGGGCAGCTTAGCCCACTGTGCTCCAACTCCCACCAACAGTAGAATTTCTTTAGTGCAGTGTTGTATAAGAGAAGTAATTAGTTCTTCTTGTTAGTTTGCTTTCACAACGTGTGGAGATAAGGCATTGTTGGGAAAAATAAATCTTTAAAAAAGAAAAATCATAAAATCTAAACCCTAATGTAGTGCTTCTTGGTAAGTACCTTTGCTGTGATTCACATAGACTCTGTCACTTGGTGTTAAGCGTTGAATGGGTCTATTGTTAAAGCAGTTTATACCTGTGATACTCAAGTAGTAAAAATTAATGAGAGCTATTTTCTGCAACTGTCATATGTGGATTTTGTAATATTTAATTTGCTTTGAAAACAGTATGCTTAATTAATTTTTGCTCTCCCCAAAAGCAAGCTTTTTACCACTACTGTCAGTGCTTTTATTATTTTGTGGGTTTTTGTTTTTTGTTTTTTAAAAAAAGTGTAGATAAGGGCCCAGCGCTGTGGCCTGGTGGCCAGAGTCCTTGCCTTGAACGCACCAGGATCCCATATGGGCACTAGTTCTAATCCCGGCAGTTGCACTTCCCATCCAGCTCCCTACCTGTGGTCTAGGAAAGCAGTTGAGGACAGCCCAAAGCCTTGAGACCTTGCACCCATATGGGAGACCTGGAAGAGCTCCTGGCTCCTGGCTTCAGATCGGTACAGTACTGGCTGTTGCAGTCACTTGGGAAGTGAATCATCGGATGGAAGATTTTCCTCTCTGTCTCTCCTCCTCTCTGTGTATCTGCATATCCAATGAAAATAAATAAATCTTTTTTGTTTAAAGTAGTAAAACCTTATTCAAATGATGGAGGAATAAAGATTGGTTTATCAGGGCAAATGATACTTTGGTCATTGTATATTGAATGAGATGGATATACTGAGTGATGATTTTTGTGTGTTGCAGGCCTTTCGGGAAGACCTGGAATGCCTTATTCAGGAGCAGATGAAAAAAGGCCACAACCCGACTGGATTATTAGCACTGCAGCAGATTGCAGATTACATCATGACCAGCTCCTTCTCTGGCTTTTCTTCACCTCCCCTCAGTACGTCAGCTCTACTGAGTTTTTACAGTTACAGTTTCAGATCTACTTTGTAATACTCTACCTCTCTAGAAGCATGGTCTGCTCAGGTTATAACATCCAACGCTTGGAATAATAAAGTATTAATCTTACTTTTTCTTGTCAACCAGGAATACCCTAGATTTTCTATTACAAAATAGTGTAAGACATGTTACCTATCCTAGATAACTGTATATTTTAGTTGACACATTATGTACTGTGGATGCACAAAATACTGATATTACAACGGAAGAGGGAGAAGTTACAAAGTAGCTCATAAACCCCTTTCTAATGTCCTGTTAGAAGCCATCCTATTTTGAGCTCTGATTTGAATCAGATTACTGACTATGATAGAAGATGTTGATGAAAAAAGGCCTGAAATAACCAGACTTAAAGACTAGAACAGAATTACAGCATGGTATGCAAGAGAGAATTAGACATTCTATTGGTTTAACAGCTCTTTAGTGAGAGCACCAGCTTGTGAGCTGAACACGGTGAACATACCAAGAATTCTAAGTTCTTAAACTCCGGTACTCTACATCTTAGTTGGGAGATACCTATAGACATCATTCAGGGTGCACAGAAATCTCAAAAAAAAAATAAATAAAAACCTAAAACCTAAAAGGGACTGCTTGGGGTCTGACTAAAGGGCTAAGGACCTATTCTCCCCTTTCTAGTGTCTTTCATGTCCCTTCTTTCCTCACTCCCTACATGTATTTATTTGTTTGCTAAAAATTTGTAAGACTGTAAGATTTTTTTTTTTTAGATTGGAAGATTACTGTAAGGATTTCAGTAAATTTGGATTTTTTCAAATAGAAGGAGCAGCGAAAAAAACCCACAGTGGTGGAAATATATGATGTAGGAGTGTTTTTGATACTCCAAGTGGATCATTACATTAGCGCATAAATTGAAAATCAAATGTAGAAACCTAGGGAGAGAAGCTGGGTCTGTAGAAAGAGAGCATTCACTGCTACACCAAGGCAAACTATTCATGTGTGAAGTGAAGAAAGAGTTGGTAGGTGGTAACTTGAATGAGTGCTAGGAAAGGAGAAGAGATGAAGAAAAACAAGTATTCTTGGGCAAATACAATGTGAGGTGTAGGTACCTGAGCTAGAGTAGTGGTTGTGGACTCACAGTGAAGTGAGGAAGGCTCAGCCAGAGAATAGTGCAAGGACTCAGGAATAGTTTGATGTGATGGTGTGTTTGGGGAGAGAAAGGGATGAATTTCAAAATCAAACCTTTCTAACTTGGGATTTTACCAGAAGAAAAAATTCAGAGATGGAAGTCCTTTGGTTCACTAATATTGTACTACTTTGTATCTATTACATGATGAACACCTTTTTAAGAACAGGGGATAATAGTGATATAGAAGATGAAAGATTCCTTTTAGTCATAGAGGTAAAATAAAATGATCAGATAATGGGGTGTGATTTATAATGTGGTGATGTGGCAGTAACCAGGTGACTGCTTCAGATTTAGTGATCAGAGAAAGCTTCTGAACAGAAGTCAGTTGTACAGACACATGGAAAAAGCATTTCAATCAAGAGAACAAGTGCCAGGTAATAATATAATAGGTAATAGGTGATAGGTGGGCCAGGATACCCACATCACAGTTCCTGAGTTCTGTTTCCGGCCCAGAGTCCTGACTTCAGCTTCCTGCTGATGCAGTCCACTGGAAACAGATGAAACAGCTCCAGTCTTTGGGTTCCTGCCACCCAGTGGGAGATGGGAATTTAGTTCCCAGGTTCAGCCTTAGCTGTATTGTAGACTCAGCCTGCCAGCCCTGGCATCCTCTGTGGGCACCAGTTCATGTCCCAGCTGTTCCACTTCTGATCCAGCCTTCTTCGTATGGCTTCAGAAAGCAGTGGAGGATGGCCCAAGGCCTGAGGCACCTCTGTGCCCACATGTGAGACCCAAAAGACTCTCCTAGCTTCAGATCAGCTTCAGATCAGATCAGCTCTGGCTATTGTGGCCATCTGGGGAGTGATTCAGCAGATGGAAGATCTCTTTATTTCTGTATCTCTCCTTCTCTGTAAATATATCTCTCAAAGATGAATAAATCATCTTAAAAGACGAATCAGGAAAGATAAAATCACCTTTAAACTCTTAATTTTTATTGTGTTGCAGACAGAAACAGCAAGCTGAAGAATGGAAAGGAGGACCTGATCAGATAACAAGTATCACCATCTGTCAGAAATTGCAATGGGAAGGCATGGTGGTATAGGATGTTTTCATGGGCTCAAAAGTAAAACAAGAAGTGAACATAGAGGAAGACTGAGCTCTGGGAAAGAGAACATGTTGAATGAAAAAAGCAAGTGGGAAGGGAGCCCAGGGAGCCTGGGAAAGAATCCTAGGAAAGAGAGGATGGTAGATGATGTTAAGCTATAAAAAAATCAGGAGAGAGTGAAGATGGAGTCAAAAGTTGTTAACAGTTAAATGTGTCAGTTGGATCCTTAGGGACTTTCCAGAGAACAGAGAGGGAAAACTAGAATATTTGTTTATTTGTGTGCATTCTTTTATATCTCAAGTGTGTGTTTGTGTGTGTGTGTTTGAATTGAAGACAAAAGAGTTGTTAGAAAAGCAGCTTTCTCTTGAGATCTATTTATCTAACAATGGCAGTAACCTCAATATTTAGTGACACTTTGGGTTCTGAGGTGAAGTAACTGTTTACTACTGTGAGTCCCTAGCAAGTACTGCTTGAAGTGGCTTTTTGCTGTACAGTCGAAGAAGATAGCTGGAGCTTCGTCTGTACATCCTATGCTTCGCTGAAGGAGGATCAGCAGTAAACATTGTATGCATAGAAAGTTGCAAATAACTTTTTTTTTTTTTTACAAGACTGAAATATTCTCAAGATATGGCACAGGCTCCAGATGAAGAACTGGCAGCTAGGTTCCAGACGAGGGTAACTTGAGCTGAATTTCTCCCTACAATTTTTCTTCTTTTAGGTCTTGGCATGGTCACACCTATCAATGATCTTCCTGGTGCTGATACATCCTCATATGTGAAAGGAGAAAAACTTACTCGTTGTAAACTTGCCAGCCTGTACAGACTTGCAGATTTGTTTGGATGGGCACACCTGGCAAATACATACATCTCTGTGAGTCTTTAGCTTTAAGTTCCTTTTTAAAAATTCTGTATGGAAGTCCAGCTTTTGATTGTCTGATTTTGCTATGCTAGATAACAATCTAAAACTGCTTGAAACATTATCTCCAAGGGAGATTCTGTCCTTCTCCCAAGTTTGTTTTCATTTTACTGTGTTATTTCTTTAATTTAGAGGAATTGTAGAGTATCTTCAGAAAGAAACCCTTATAACAGAATCATCCCTCTATAAGTTAATTATATCTGAGTCTCAGTAGCATTTATTAAAAAAAAATTTGGAGCATGAAAAACAGGGCCAGGAAAGATTTATTCTTGATTTCTGTTCTGAAATCAAATTTCTCCTATTTGTGTCATCCTGTTTTTATTTTGCCACATTTGGAAACAAGATGATATTTGAAAGCAAAAAGGTATTAAAATGTTCCATGTTGGAAATGGCATTGTCGATGGTACAGTATTCTTCCTTCCCACCAACTCCCACACGATTCCTTATTTCCCCTTCCATCTCTTCCTTTTTTGGAAGAGATTCTGTTTTCTTTGCTTTGCCTGTTTTAATTTCCATGAATGTGCTGACTTTAGGCCACCCTAGCACCCCAAAATAATGCTTCAGATAGGTTAAAAAATGAGACAGTGGTGTCAGAATTTGTTAGCAGGTGCTTGAGAGAAAAATTTACATTACAGACCTTTCATGTTTGCTTTGGTCCCCACAACTTTTCATGAAAAATAAATGCTTGTTTATTTTACATTGCAAAATACGAATGCATTATGATCAATGTCCATTGTTTTTCTCTTTTTCAGGTAAGAATAAGTAAGGAACAGGATCATATTATAATAATTCCCAGAGGCCTGTCTTTTTCTGAAGCCACAGCCTCTAATTTGGTATAATTTTCGTTCTTGTGTTACTTTTTCTGAACTTCTTTGTGTTTTTGGTTTGTTTATTTTTGACAGTTTTTAGCTTTTAGCACAGAAATGAAAAAATACAGATAGGGAAATATTTACTACTGAACAGTGAAGAGTTTGGAAAATTATGTACTTTTAAAAAATGTTTTAGGATTCACAAAATGAGTTATTTAAGAGACTAGTAAATGAATTGGTCTTATCAGTTAATCTGTTCTTATTCTGAAGGAAATCTTTTTAATTGTTTTCTACCCTGTAGACTCTAAATTTTGAGTTTTTCTTTTTATGAAAAAAAATGTGAATTTTGATGCTAAGTTACATCTGCCATAATTGGTGTCAGTGTAAGATCTGATCTTCCAGTATTTGTCTTTGCCACAACTGTACTCTTACCCGCCATCATCAACTTTGGAATAGTCAGAGCTCACTGGTCCTAGCTGCTGCAGTGTTAGCAAATGGAAATTTTATAGCCAGCTCAGTAAACTGTAGACTTGTCCAAACCTCCACTGAATATCATTAAATACTTGGTTTCTTAAAAATATGTTGTCCTTTTTTGTTGAAGACTACCTGTTTTATAAACCAGGCTTTTAGAAGACATTGAGATACAGTGTATATACCAAGAAATGCACTTAAGCATGTACAGATCAATGGGCTTTTTGGTCATCTGATCACACTCATCGCAACACCGACACGAAGAACGAAGTGTTACTGTACGTCAAGACTTCACTACTTCTGCTTCTGTTTCTTTTTTCATCGTGTGGAGTGACACACGATTCAGTGAAGCAGTATTTATAACTTTATACCAAATGGTCTGACATCCACACAGTTTTTATCCTCTCTCTATATTAAGAACTGCAAATTAGAGAAGACACATTTGCCTTTTTGAGAGTCTGTTATTTCTCTTAGCATAGTGATCTCCTATTAACCTATTTGTTACAAATATCAGTTTCTTTCCTTTGTTGGGCTGAGTGGTTTTCAGATGTGCCTTATACTACAATTTTTATGATCAGCTAATAGCTAGATTGAACACAAATAGTTTTATGGGAATGTAAGCCATTTTCTCACATTTTATAAGATTTATTTTTAAACTTAATTTTTATTTTTTGCTATATTTTTAATTTAATTTAATTTGATATGGAAAGGCAGTTACAGAGAGAAGGAGAAACAGAAATCTTTCATCCACTGGTTCATTCCCTCAAATGGCCACAATAGAACGAAACTGGGCCAATCCAAATCCAGGAGCCAGGAGCTTCCTCCAGGTCTCCCACATGGATGCAGGGCCCAAGGACTGGGCCATCCTCTACTGCTTTCCCAGGCTATAAGCAAGGAGCTGGATTGAAAATGGAGCAGCTGGGACATGAACTAGTACCTGTATGAGATGGCAGTGCCACAGGTGCACCCTGATGCACAGCAGCACCGGCCTGGGTCACACATTGTTCATGGCAGCTTTCACACTGCATTGACAGAGGTGAATAGTTTTAAATGGAGCCCAGAATAGTTACTAACTGGCCTTTAAAAAACAAAGTCATTCTTCGATTTAGCTTGTAAAAGAAAGAAACTTGGACACATTACCCATTAAATGTCTGTGATTTTTTTCCAGGTGAAAGTCAATATAATTGGAGAAGTGGTTGACCAGGGAAGTACTAATTTGAAAATTGACCACGCAGGATTCAGCCCCCATGCTGCCATCTATTCAACACGTCCTGATGTTAAGTGTGTGATACACATCCACACCCTTGCGACAGCAGCTGTAAGTCAGTGAAGGGACACAGCCAGGAGTGACTCTGGAAAATGTGTGATTTTCACGGCTTTCCCTTGTGATGCTTTATTGCCTGTGTTCCTTCAGACCCCACCATTCAAAATGTTATGGTGACCCTCTGAATACCCAGAAAACAAAAGGCCCCTGTGACTAAATGCTGCCCTTCTAGAAAACAGCTAAAGAGATAACATTTGGATTTCAAAAATCATCTGTGTAACGAGTAGGTCATCTTGAGTTTTTTGGGAAAAAGCTTCTTATATAATATCCGGCACAACATTTAAGCTGAGTTGTATCCCCAAGACATTTGTCCGTCTTTTCTGGATGAAGCGAACAACTAAAATAGGAAATGAGTTGCAGTGGTGAGCACAGTGAATAGAGCCAGTACTAGAGTTGGCTAGATTAGATTCCCATGAAAATGTGTTTAGTAACGATGTATGTAATCTTGGAATGGACCCTATCAAATAGGTATCCTCCATGAAGTGCGGAATCCTTCCAATTTCTCAAGAGTCCCTTATCCTGGGAGATGTTGCCTATTATGACTACCAAGGATCACTCGATGAGCAAGAAGAAAGAATTCAACTGCAGAAAGTCCTGGGACCAAGTTGTAAGGTGTGTAGTAGAGTTTCTGTGTAAGGAGCTATTTTTATTGCTGCTGCTGTTGATGAAAACAGTGTGAGCTATGCTAGTTATTTAAAGTGATTGCTCTGGGATTCTATTTTAGGTGCTGGTGCTCAGGAATCATGGTGTGGTGGCCCTAGGAGAAACAGTTGAAGAGGCTTTTCATTATATTTTTAATGTACAGATAGCCTGTGAGATTCAGGTAAGAAAGTGTTCTGCTCCCACCCCCCCACTTGTTTCTGTTGTTTCATTATTTGCTGTTTAGTTGGCTTTTGTGTTCAATTCCAAAGCCTCATGGTTAATGACTTCTTGTTTTTTCTTTATGAGAAATTCTGCTCTACTTAAGTAAGAAAAAGATTGTCAGCTTAGTTATCTCTTAAATTGAAAACAGAAGAAGAGGAAATGAAAATTTACACCCACATAAATCTGCCTCATAAACAATTTTCCTCACAAGCCAGTTGTGTAAGATAAAGTAACAGGGGCCCAGCATTGTGACAAAGCAGGTAAAACCACCTCCTGTGACACTAGGAGGTGTCAGTGGGCATTGTCATCATATGGGCAGTGGGAGTCCAGGCTCCTCCACTTCACAACTGTCTCCCTACTAGTGTGCCGGGAAAGTAGCAGAGGATGGCCTAAATGTGAGCCTCTGTACCCCACATGAGAGAATAAAACTGCTAACTCCTGGCTTCAACCTGGCCATTGCAGCCATTGGGGAGTAAAGTAGTGGGTGGAAAATCTCTCTCTCTCTGTAGCTCTGCCTTTCAAATAAATGCATAAATAAGTAAATCTTTATTGAAAAAAAAAAAGCACACCCAGATACTTCTCTGTGTTGACCCTTTAGTAGTAATAGTAATTGAGAAGCAAATGTGACCACAAGTCATTATGAGTCAGATGTGTAATGGCAGCTTTTGTAAGGTAATTCATAAATGCCAGGCATTTTATGAATTCATGCAGTTTACAACAATTCCAGAGCCTTATTATCATGATAAATTGGGTACTTATGAACCACTTTTTGCTTCAGAGAAGTTGAATGCATTTGAAAGCTCTAATTTCCCTAATAAAGAAAATCAAGCACATTCTGTTGAAGCAGTTGATCATATCCTAAGTTATTGGAAAAGCCACAGGGTAGGGGAGATAATTTATTCTTTGGGCTTTAACTTGTCTTAACTTTTAATAGTCCCTCCTATTCTCAAGTGAAACAATGAAAGGCTTAATTAAATTGTGATCATGAGTAGACAGCTTGCTTAAGTATACTTAAATTTGAAATATAGTGTCACTATATTCCTTTAAAGTTGTAACTTTCAGCTATAGTGTTAACTGGATAATCATGGAGAAACTTCAAGAAAAGAACTTTCAATGTGGTAAGAGAATTCAGCCATAAAATATATGTGTTTGCTATCAGGGAACAGAGGGACCCTGAAATGTACCTTTTTCATCTAGATGGAAAAGATATTTCAGCTGCTACTTGCACAGGAGTGTTGCCTTGTCTTCCTGCTCGTTGGTATTTTGAACAAGTGTTATGGATGTTTGCCAGTTGGAATTACTGCACCTTTTGAAAGTAAAGTACTCGTTGCAGTCTTTATAGGTTTGGGTCTCTGTTTTACCACTCCCTGCAGGTGCGGGCGTTAGCAGGGGCAGGTGGAGTGGACAATCTCCTTGTGCTCGATCTTCAGAAGTACAAACCATTCACATACACGGTAGCAGCTTCTGGAGGAGGCGGTGTGAACATGGGTTCCCACCAAAAGTGGAAGGCTGGCGAGATAGAGTTTGAAGGGCTGATGAGAACTCTGGACAACTTGGTATGTGAAAAATTAAACATGGACTTGAATGTTGAATCATGTCTTTCAGATTTAAGAGTGATTGCTTCTAGGCCCCTGGCCGTAGTCATTATGTTGTACTTTTGTGCTAACAGTTGAACTTACTCCTCCTATCCAACTATTTACTGTTTTTTGACCAGTATTTCCCCAAGTCCCTGAACCTTGCCTATGGGAATCCTCATTCTTTGTGTCTATGAGTTTAACTTTAGGTCCCATATGTAAGGGAAATTGTGAGGTTTTTTTTTTTCCTCTGCTTGGCTTATTTCACTTACGTTTTACAAGTCTACCCATGTTGTTGCAGACGACAGCTTTTCTTCTTTTAAGGCTGAATAATATTTTGTGCATGCCTTGAACATGCTTTCTTCATTCATCCATTGATGGGTGCTTAGGTTGACTCTATTTTGACTGATATTTCAGTGAACTTGGGAGTACACATAATCACTTTAGAATACTGATTTCACTTTCTTTGGATATATACTTAGAAGTGGAGTTACTGGATCCGTAGAGTAGATCTATTTTTACTTTCCTGAGGAACTTTTCTGTGTTCCCCATATTAGCTGTACTAATTTACATTCCCATGTTGTGCAAGCAGCTGCCCTTCTGCACGTCCTCTGCCCTTTGGTAGCATTCTAGCAGGTGTAAAGTGATGTGATTTTAATCTGCATTTCTTGGATGATTAGTGTTGCTGAGCACTTTTTTCATGTACCTTTGGACCATTTATAAGTCTTTTAGGAAATGTCTGTTAAAATCCTGTGCTCCTTTTTAAATTATGATTATTTCCTTTTGTGGTATTTTTCTGAGCTTTTGTATTTTTGGAAATTAACCCTTTATCAGACATCATTTTAGATATTTACCATCTTACATGAAACATCAGAAGGCAGGCTGCCTTTAGGTTCACGAACCAAGTCTTAAATGAGCCCTGGGGTTTGATTCCCCAAAAACCATTTTTATGAGCAGGGAAATATTTCTAGTCAGCAGAAACAGCTTGGAAATTACCTTTGTCAGGAACATTTGTATGAGTGGAAATTGCAGTGTCAGCTGGAATCAGTTTTAACCCAGTAAAGACATTTGTTGAATTTTCGTTCTAGTGTTTAGTAGAGGTAATGTGATGTTTTGAAGGAAGTTTCCTCATTATTTGTTTTTCAACAACAACAAAAAAGTGTGTTTGAGTTGTAGTCTAAAGAATTTTAACTAAAATGCTGTGTTAGTGTAACTTTGATTACCTCAACTGTGGTTTCTCCCTGCCATAGGGATACAGAACAGGCTATGCTTACAGACACCCTCTGATTCGAGAGAAACCTAGACACAAGAGTGATGTGGAGATCCCAGCAACTGTGACAGCTTTTTCCTTTGAGGATGACACAGTGCCGCTCTCTCCACTCAAATACATGGCACAGAGGCAGCAGCGTGAAAAGACAAGATGGCTCAACTCGCCAAATACCTACATGAAAGTGAATGTGCCTGAGGACTCTCGAAATGGGGAGACCAGTCCCAGGACCAAAATCACAGTACGCACTCTTCTATATAACTTGCCTCTACTACTAGTTCTCAATATTTTGTCTAGTTATTCATGACTTAAAATGTTGCATGTCAAAAATATTAGGAAAGTAAAATGTCAAAAATATCACTATCATTTATCATGCCTTAACTGTGCAAGACACTGTTCTGAATGCAAATATGAATCAGCTCATTGAAATGAGCCAATTTTATATATTGGGGAACATAATCATTTCTAATGATTAAGTTAGAATTTGTAGCAGAGAATTTAACTTAAATCTAGTTCTTACAGTGTGATTCTACTTTGTAGTTTGTATTTCACCATTTCAGAGCCATAAAAGTTTCAACAACTAACTGTCTAATTGGCATGAATTAGTGTATATAGCTGCTGTTAGGTAAAATTTTGCAAGTAGAGAACTGGATTATTTTATCTTTTCCAGAACTTTGTTTCAGCTTTTGGTTGGTTTAAGAGTGTTTAACACAAGGTTTATTCTACAGGTACTGAAAATTAGTTTATCCCATCATATAAATCAATAAATTCTGTATAAATAGTAGCTTTCTTGAAGGGTTATAAAGTGGGATAAATTGTGTTTTTTTATATTAATTATATTGTATTATGTGACACAGTTTTACATTGCATTATGTGACACAATTTTATAGGTACTGGGATTCTCCCTACGTTTTATAGGTACTGGGATTCCCCCTACACCTCTTTAAACCCTCCCCCCCATGGTGGATTCCTCCACCTTGCTACATTACCACAGTTCAAGTTCAGTTGAGATTCTTTCATTGCAAGCATATACCAAGCATAGAGTCCAGCATCTTATTGTCCAGATAAGTTCAACGGCTTGTTGGGGAGACCATCTCTGGTTTGAAGGTAGAGCCGGCAGAGTATCATCTCGGTCCATTAAAAGTCTAAAGTGGGATAAATTGTAATTCGAATTTATAAAGTCTTTCCAACTCTGGTGTGCCATTAGGCTATGTACCACTATATTATTCCAGTTATAAAATGGGATTGAGGGTTTGGCCTTTCTGTCTTCTAAAAGTAAGAAGCAAAGTCTGGAGAACTACATCTTGAGGTTCTTTGATGGTGTTTTGGTGATTTCTTGGCCATGTCATCATCTCAGGAAACTTCAGTGAATGTGAGTTCATGTAATGACATCATGTGTATCTCTGTGCTTGAAATAGTTTTAGCATTATATCTTCAATTCCCGAGAGGAGAAAGCTTAACCAGCAATATAACTGACTATTCATATGTAAATAGTTATCAGGTACCTGCTAGTATTGCCTTAATACAAAGCTTCATTCTGAAATTTTCCATTTCTGTAGTGGATGAAAGCAGAAGACTCCTCTAAAGTTAGTGGTGGGACACCTATTAAAATTGAAGATCCAAATCAGTTTGTTCCTTTAAACACAAACCCAAACGAAGTGCTGGAGAAGAGAAACAAGGTAAGACCCTGCCTTCTAGGCAGAGGAAATGGTTTTACTCTGCTTCGTGATTGTCATTTGCACTTGAAACTGACTAACATCAGGCTTCAAAGTTTGAATGCAAAAGAATTTGGCATGTAATTCGGTATAAGTTTAGCTTGTATTGGATGGTTCTACTCTTGTGCCAGCTGTTGGTGCATAGGCTCCAAGAAGAGGAAGTATTAAACATAGATGGGCCTCTTTTTAAAGTACTCTGGGATGGGGGATGCAGTTCTGCCTAGTCCGCTTCAGGGGGTGGAGAAGGGGGAAGTTGAAGAGACTTACTCTGGAGGAGTCAAAGAGTAAGTTTTTTGAAAAAAGAAAGCAAGGATCGTGTGCATTGTTGCCTTCAAGAACTGTCACTGTTTTTCAATTCAGATCCGAGAACAAAACCGCTATGACTTGAAAACAGCAGGACCACAGTCCCAGTTGCTTGCTGGAATTGTTGTGGATAAGCCTCCTTCTGTAAGTCTGAAGCAATGTGATCTTTGTTTCTAATCTACCACATTGATTTCTTCTGTTTTTTGATAATGAGTATTTTTACTGAGATTAATAAACACACAAGTCAAAAACTCTACTCTTGGTTCCCAGTTTCCAGGGGCAATAAGTTTCTGTTCTTTCCATCTTTTATAGCACATATGTTTGTATTTCTAAAGATCCCACTTTTTTCCCTTGGCTTATTAGTTCTATACCACAGTTGTTTCATTGAATCTGTTCTTAGTTTTAAGAAGTACCATTACTTTCATGTATCATTAAGAGAGAAAAACACTGCCAGTTATAATTTCAGGAAGCCATAAATTATAAAATGATTCCCAGTGTCGCAGAAGGGAAAATGTAATGGTGAAGTTTGTTAGAATTAAAGATAAGGACTGGCAGGTTGAGCTATAGTCTGTGATGCCACGCATCCTATACTAGAATGCCAGTTTGAATCCTGGCTACTCCCTGCTAATGCACCTGGGAAAGCAATGGAAGATGGCCTGGGTGCTTGGACCCAGGTGGAGTTCCAACCCAGGTTGTCCAGCCCTGGCCATTGTTGCCATTTGGAAGTGAACCAGCAGATAGATGATCAATTGAAATCAGTCACTCGCTCTCCTCTGTAAATGCCTTTCAGCCATAGAAACAACTCTTTAAAAAGAAAGGAAGCACCAGCTTCCTTTATGGAAGATCAGGGTTTAGCCTGTTTCCCAGTGCTTCCCTTTCACCCTTTCCTCATTTCCCCAGTAAGATTGTGTCGCAAGCTTTTTTTCAATAGACTTTCAGCGTGCATATTATTCCATGTTCATAACTGAGCCAGGTATTATCCCACAAGTATATGTCATCTTTCATGCAACTTTTCCCTCGAGTTAAAAATTGCCTCCTTTTTTCTTTTCAACTTTTCCCCTTGAGCACTTGGATGGTCCCTGGTGCCTGTGGCTTGGGTCTGCTCAGACCTCTGTAAGGCGTGAGCGCAACTGCCAGCTGCACCCATTGCAGGACGGAGGCTTGATCTTTCCAGCTATGTCCTCCACTTTTACCTGCTTTCTCTCTTCCAAAAATATGTTAATATTTCTTATCTTTGCATGTCTTCTATCTTCTTTTATCCTTAAAACCATATATATTTTTTTCTGTTTGTTTACGATCATATTAGTAGGGTTTGTGGAGAGATCAAAAGAAATGCAGGGGTTCAAACTCTGGGTGAATTCCTTCCATTAAGAAACTAGCTACAAGTCTGTTTTTGTAACTTAAAAATACGAAATGGTTCTTTTGGTACAGTTTCATCTTCTAACTATTTTTCACTAGTATTTTTTTAATGTTTCATTTATTGTATTTTCAAGATATTTCTTGTTACATAAAGCTTATTAGAGCTTGATTTAACTTTAATTTTTAAAAAGTACCAAAATGTACCAATAACGTGCTTATTTAGAAAGAAACACTGGCAGTTTCAGTCCATTGTATGAATAGTCCAAGCACTATGGCACATGAGACTGTGTACCAATAGTGTATTAAGAGTATTTTCTATAAGAGTAAGTACTGTGAGAGAGTATTTTCAACAAAACATATAGACTTGTTTCTTGTAATTGTTACAGAGAGTCACAAAGATCATACATATATAGGACTTGTGATCCATGTGTCTGAATGGATATAAAATGTATAGTAATTAATTGAAGTTTTTTTTTCTTTGCAAGACCATGCAATTTGAAGATGATGAAGGCCCACCAGCTCCTCCTAACCCGTTCAGTCATCTCACAGAAGGAGAACTTGAAGAGTATAAGAAGACAGTGGAACGTAAACAGCAAGGCCTAGAAGGTTAGTTAGTTCTTTTATTAAGCCTAGGATAACAATAATAATAGCAGCTTCTACTCAGTGATAGGATGCAGTCAGTGTTTTTAAAATATACTTCACTGTTCTGCCTCAACTATACCAGTTCTTTAAATTAAAAAAAATAAATAAAGATGTATTTATTTTTTATTTGAAAGACAGATTTTTGGAGAGAGAAGTAAAGACAGAGGTTGTGCGTCTGCTTCTTCACTCCCCAGATGGCCACAGCAGCCAGAGCTGAACTGATCCAAAGCCAAGAGCCAAGAGCTTCTTCTGGGTGTTCTGTGTAGCTGCACAGGGACCCATGAGTCTGAGCCATTGTCCACTGCTTTCCCAGGCCAGAGGCCGGGAGCTTGTTGGAAGTGGAGCAGCTGGGACATAAACCAGCATCCGTATGGGATGCCCACCTCACAGCTGGGATTAACTAGCTACACCACCACGCCAGCCACTCATCCAACCCAGTTCTGTATGAGTGTTAGTGAGGCTAAAATGCAAAGCACTACCACAAGCCATATATATATTTTTAGAAGTAAAGCAAGTTTGTTATTAAAAAGAAATTTGTTGATTTGTGAGAGTGAGACAGAAAGTTCCCATCCGTTGTGTCATACCCCAGGTTCCCATAGTGGCTGCAAGGCTGGGAAGCTGGAGCCAAGAACTCAATCCAAAGCCAGAGCTGGGAATTGCACAAAAGCACTCCAAGGTGGCATATGTGATAGTAACCAGCAACTTAAGCACTAAGCTAAAAACCCACCCCTACTCTATGTCTCAACATAGAAATCTGCTCTTCAGAACTAATTTTTATGAAAGCTACTTTCTTATTAAAATCTGTAAAGTGAAGATCTTAGATGAGTAAAAAGTTACTAGCCCAAGTAAATGCAGATATACTACTTTAAGTATTTCAGATCATCTGATTTGTTATGAACTTTTTGTCTTGAAATAATTATAGATTCACGAATATGTGGTTCTAATGCCTTGTAAAATCTGGTCTTGGTTGAATCATAGAATCAAAATTTAAAAAGCTCTGCCAGGTTGGGCATTTGCTGCAGTAGCTAAGATGCTGCTTGAGATGCACAAGGACCTGGGTTGAGTTTCTGGCTTCATTTCCAATTCCAGCTTCCTGTTGATGCACACCCTGAGAGGCAGCAGGTGATGGCTCACGTATCTGAGTCACTGGCACTCATGTGGGAGACTAAGATTAAGTTCCAGGCTCCTGGGTCTGGCCTGACCCAGTCCTGGCTGTTGTAGGCATTTGGGGAGGTGAAGCAGCAGATGGAAGTTGTGTGAGTGCATGTGTGTATGAACCTTTCAAATAAATATTTTTTAAATCAAAATTCTAATTAAAAAATAAATAAAAATGGAATTTGGGTGTGACTTTTCTTAAGCATGTGGGCATTATAGATATTTTTTGCTGGCTTTGGAACCATAGTAATTAGTTGAGATTATATTTAAGAATACCTAAAGAAAGCTTCCTAATCAATACTGGCTCTCTTCTCTAAAAGAAGGGATTCTTAGTCTTGAATCATTAGATGAGCGTTAGATCATGAACCACCTTGAAAATACATGCTTTACTGCGAATGAGACACATTCAGGGAAGACGGTTTAGAGCACTCATAGTCTAGAATTGAGAAACCTAAAGCAACACAAAAACCATCAAGAAAAAGATTTTTTGTCCGTATTAGATATTGTATCATGTGTTGTTTTGTTAGCTATTTTATAATAAGATCTATAAGATCATGTGATCGTTTTGTTCACTGAAGGAGGAGTTTTTTTTTTAATCAGTTTGTTAGCGCTTTTGTCAAAAGTGAGTTATCTGAACTCAGTGCAGTCGTACTAAACATTTTAGGTGATGTTTTATTGAACTTGTTTATCCTTATGTAAGGTTGGGAGCTTTGCTTTTTAGGTTTTGTAAAATGTCCCTCTTTAATCTCTTATTTTTTGAAAGCCTAACGATGCCAGGTAATAAATATTGCACTCTAGAGCCATCACACTTTACATGTAGCTTTGTAAGTAGTTTGTTTCACGTTCATTATGACCTTTTGATTTGGCTCTCTAATTCTGCTGTGACAGGAATCACTAACTGGATATTGTTCACCAAGTCAGCCAAGCATTCAGCCTCATTAATATAGCTTCATTGCCAAAGGTTCATAGTTCCTTTTGTCTGGCTGTTTAGTATATTTTGGTTTTTTGAAACCAGCAAAAGCTAAATGTATATGTATATTATTTGCCTGAGCTGCCAGTGGCTATGCTTCTTTTGTATCCTTATGTGTAAAATTACTATTTGCAGCCAGAAACTTTAACTCATTAACCCCCATTAATGCTTAAACGGAGAACTAGTAGCATGTTTAGCTTGTTGCTGAAGAATTTATCATCTCTGTATATGCAGGCATTTGATATTTACACTAATCCTCCTGAAATCTTACGCTTCCTTGTTTTGTTTTGCATGGCTTTTAACTAAACTCTTATTCAACAGATGCTGAGCAGGATTTACTCTCAGATGACGCTTCATCTGTTTCACAAATTCAGTCTCAAACTCAGTCACCGCAAAATGTCCCTGAGAAATTAGAAGGTATCAATTCACTGAGTTAGCGTTGAGCCCTTGAACCCACTCCCCACCCCCCGCCCACCTTACCCCACTCCCTGCCCCATCATGTGCTTTCATGCAAGGAAACTGAACCTCCTGTCACAGTAAGTTTGCTGTTGATTTACGTAGATCTCTCAGTAATTTTATGATTGTTCTTACATAAGATGCTACCTGTGCTCAATATTATTTTAATTTACCTTAATAGGGAATTTGGCAACCCATAGTTTCTAAGAATTTGTGGAAGAAAATTGATTTATCACGTCATTCAATCAGCAGCATGAAATCCTTTTCTATTTTCATTGCTAAATAACTCCAAAACTAAAGAAAAATCATGGTGTCTTCCTCATTTATTCTGACTTAATTTACAGTGAAATTATATTGTGAAACTGGAATCATGTCGTTTTTAATTTTTGGTTGTAATGAGTTCTTTCCCTTTATATATTTAAAAGAATTAGCTTCGTGGTAATAAATCCTTAGTTCATTAAAATAGAATTTGATCTTCACTGAAGTAAAAATAATGCCTTCACGCATTGCTGAGGCATTTCAGTATTGTACAATAACCCTGAAACCCTCCTGTTTTCTAGAAAACCATGAGCTGTTTTCTAAGAGCTTCATGTCCATGGAAGTGCCAGTCATGGTGGTAAACGGCAAGGATGACATGCATGAAGTTGACGAGGAGCTTGCTAAGCGAGTGAGTAGATTAACCACAAGCACGACCATAGAGAACATCGAGATTACCATTAAGTCTCCAGAAAAAATTGAGGAAGTCCTCTCACCTGATGGCTCACCGTCAAAATCGCCATCCAAGAAAAAGAAGAAATTCCGCACTCCTTCTTTTCTGAAAAAGAACAAAAAAAAGGAGAAAATGGAAGCCTGAGTGGAGTTTTTCAAATAATTATTGTTATCACAATGTGACATTGCACATTCAAATACCATGCTTAAGTTGATTATTAATATGCAGTGGTAGGTCAAACTGGGGGTGTGTAGCAAACTGGAATTGATGAACTGGAAAAAAAATTGTACTTAAAAAAGTATGAAAATAGTTTTCAAATCCATGTCTCATTTTATATGTCCAGAATGGCCTTCGATTTTTAAACAGTTGCCAGTTGTAATTAGCCCTGCCCTCAAGAAGTATTCCCGTAGTTCAGCACTGTGTCTGTTTGAATTATTTCAGGCCTTCTGTCGGAAGGAAAGTACCAGTGAGCAGATGAGAACCTTGATTTCTCAACACCTGCTTCATGTGGTAATCAGGTTATTCTTTATCAGGATTACTGTCTTTTAGTTCCCATTGTTTCAATGGGCATTAACAGGATGCTTTAAAAGCTTCTAAGACAAGATGCTGTAGCATTAGTGTACACTGGCACATAATTAATTTTTTTGAAGTTTTAAGAAAAAGTTCATTTGGGATTTTATCCAAAATTTCCTCACCAGAAGTAACTTTGTTTGCCAAAAAAAGGTCATTTTAGTAAACTAATTTTTGAAAACTTGCTTTTTTATTAATTTAGGAAGCCCCTAATTTTTCAATAAAGGGGATTTTGTACACATAACATGGATTATTTAGTTTAACTCTGGCAAAAAACAATTTTTGTATGTTGAAATGTTTGTATACCATTCAGCATAAAACTGTCATAAGCATATTAGCAAATCATTTAACAGTAGAGCATATTTGAGACTGCTTGGTACTGAATGTACTTAAATATAATTCAAGAATCCAGGGACTTGGTATCAGAAGGTGATTAGAGCATATAAAAATTTATCTAGATTCTTATTTGAATCTTATAGTGTATTTTTTTGTTACTAATGATGAATGGAGAAAATCTTATAAAGTAGCCGAATGAGAAGCGAAAGGGGAGTGAAACATCAGAGGAACTGAGGATAGGATGGGAGAGTGTCAGTCTGATAATGACCCGTAGAGTGGGAAACATGTCTCACAATTTGAAAGTGTGCTTTTCTTTCAAAATCAGTGTCTCTGGGTTGATATTTTAATTGTAAAAAGGCCAATTCCTTGTAACTTGCATATCCTTAGAGGGAAGCACTAGAAATGACTCTAACCCCACCAGTGAAAAAGCTGCCACTTCTTGATTGAAAAAAAAATTTTTTTAACCTTTCGTTTAACTTTTTTTTAATGTAAATACAAATGTAAACCTATACTTAATAGAATTTGCCCCTCTCACCCAAGTGGTATCACAAATCAGTGTAAAATTAGTGATTCAGAATGGTCAGTGGGTACAAATGATCCCAGGTGGTTGGAGGTGAGCTGGCATGCAGGGGATTACATTGGCTGCAGTGCTGGGGCTGGTTCTGTCAGATTGTGCGTGCACAACGTCCCAGAGCTGAGATGGTCTGCAGGTGTCTCTCTGGATCTCAGTAACTACTGGATCAGTGTTCTGTTCTTTTAGTGGAAACTTTCAGTTGCTTAATTCTATTTGAAGATTATTTTTTTTTGTTCTACATCATTTATGTTGTATTACAACGTATGTAGAAACAGTAACCTGTGAACTATGCTTTTCCATACTTTTAAAAAATATATATATATATCTAAATGAATGCAATGTGCATAAATATTTTTTAAACACAACAGTAAAACTATTGCACCTTTCGCTAATGCCTCTATTTACTTGCTTTGGCATAATGAATGAGCCAATGAACCTGTGTCCTGTGGAAAAATGTATAAATGTTATCTGATATTGCTCTTAGATGTAATACTAATTAATGTTAAATCACAAATAAACAGTATTTTAAATATATGGATTTGGGATCATGTCTTTTCCTTTCAAAAATAGTTACTTATCCTATTTAATTTTACACATCAGTGAAACTTTTATTAAGATTGATATATCTGAACAAAAAATGTTTTGAGAAACATTTTGAAGTGGATTAAAAATTAATTTTATAAGTTTTCTTGTTTCAACTTGTAGTGGGGCAATATTTTCTAAGATATGTTTTTTGTCTTAATAATATAGAGTGCTTTAGGATTCTGATCGTTTAAATTCTGCTCCAATCTATCAGTGTTGAAGAGATGCTACTGAGTATATAGATAATTTCTGTCTTGTTTACTTATTGTACAAATAGCAATGTGTAACAGCAAAAAAAAAAAAATAGCACAAAGAATTGGAAATAGTTTACAGACTACCACATTGACCTAAATGTTCATTCCCTTTCATCTCTTGTCCAATTATATGTATATTTTCTATATCCTGATAGTCATTATGTGAATATAATTTTTATTCAGGGCTGCTTTTCTATTTAACAAAGAATAACTCATTATAAAGTTCAAATTACTCATAAATAATTTTTTAAAAATTTGCAACAGGCAAATTCATGATGAGGGTTCTGACTAATCAAAGTCTTTACTGTAATTAGCCATTAGAAAAATGAAGGGCTTAGGTAGAGAAGACATGGTCTTGGGCATATGTGATTATTACCTGGGCTTGTAAATAACCCTGTGCTGAGAAATTGCTGTTTCAGAAAGATGCTCTTTTTAGGATTTCCTTCCATAAAGCAACAAAAGCAATTATCCTCTGCTCTCTCTCTCTCAACAGTAAATAGATTGAAATAGATTTTTCTTCTATTGAATAAGTATTTTCATTAATCAACGCATAGAGAACCAAGCAGATTAAATTGTGACAGCATTGGTTTTCTTTAGCATTAGCTGTTTTTCTTTTCTTTTCTTTTCTTTTTTTTTTTTTTGCCACAGGCAGAAAGTGTACATCTGGCTCTTTTTTAAACTCAAGGATGATGTCTAGATTGTATCTCATGTAGAAGTCTCAGTCTCTGCCGAACTGGGATTTTAAAAAGCACGCTCTGCTTTTTGTCACTAGAGGGCGGAATACACCCAGCAATCCACTGTGTCCTGTCCCTGTCCCCTGCTTCCTTTTTGTTAGTCTGCAGACACCATGTCTGTTGTGAAATACCCAGAATTTGGAAGAGAAGACATATCCCCTTGTTGTTTACCACTCTTTTCACCAGATTGTTCTTGGCGTTAACTGTGTCAGGTCCCCTTTCGCTAATGAAGTTATCATCTGCAGCAAGCACAATGCTCATAGAGAACAGAAGACAAGAGTTTTGAGGTGTGATTTCAGAAAGATAGGTGATGACGCTCAGGGTAGTTTGCTCATCTGTGAACACATTCAGTAGTTGGCTTTTGGAGAAGATAATTGATAGCACCTCTTTTTTTTTTTTAATAACTTGCATGTACCAAAGTGATGCTGATTTAACTCATTTGACCTTTCTAGCATCCCAATGGAGAAGTTGGCATTATCCCATTTTACAGGTAGTGAAAATATGGCTTGTGGAAGATGAAAAGGAGGTGCAGACACATTGTGAGCCAGTCTCTGGGTGGCTCCAGATGACGTTCTTGTGGCTTTCTTTTGAACAAGAGGCATCCCTTTGTTTACACAGTAAGTCCAGCCATGAAACTAGTATTTTTCTTACAGGTAAATTTGGGATAAAATGCTGCCTTGATTTGGAAGGCTTCTCTTCCCTAACAAAACACTTCAAGAAATGAAGAAACTGATAAGTACATGAGCAAAGGATAGGATAACCTATGGAAACAGCATCCTTTAAAATCAAGAGCCAGCTCTTGAGTCTTCTGAAAAGAACAGGGTGTCAATACCTTTGCTAAAGATGTGGGGAAAAACCCTTTCTCTTTCCTTTTCTTCTTCTTGATTTGCAACATTGCAAGAAGGAGCGAGTTGTAAGGAAAGCTGTTTTCTTTGTGCTGGTGTTTTCTAAGATGCATCGGGAGGAAGCTGAAGTGGAAGCAGGCCGACCAGGCAGCAGGCTCACGGGCAGACCACAGTGCCCACCCTAGAAAGTAGCTCTGGAGGCAGCTCGCTCCACTTAACAGGAATGTGCTACAGGTACTTCTAATTTTATAAGTGTAGAGATCAGCTGTCTTGGAGAAAAGCCTGGAGATAAGTCTTTTGTGGAACTTTTAATACTTGAAGTTTGAATCTAATTCGGTGAGTTGCATTTCTAAGAGATGACCATTAGGGGGAAACATTGGGTCCAATATTCAGTTTTAGTTAATTGAAGGAATTTCAAAATATTGACAAGCTTGGATTTAGAATATCCTGATTATACATTCTAGGTTCAATCTAGAGCTGAGAAAAGTCCATAGATGTATAATTAGCCTTTCATTACATTACTTAAAGCCCAGTGATGTTGTCAGTCATTCAGAGAGCTTGCACTGATGTGATACAGCTCACGAGGGTAAACCAGGAGATGAGCAGAGCTATTCGAAGTCTGCATGTCCTGCTTTTCCACTATGTCAGAGATGCTGATTAGCTTACTGGCAGAATCTGTGATAGTTTAAATGACAAACTGGCACATTTTATTGAAAGTTCTTTGAAAGAACTAAAGACAGGTGGATCTTCCATCTGCTGGCTCACTCTCAAAGCCATCCAGGTCTTGTGTGGCTGGCAGGGATTCATGTGCTTGGCATCATCGTTGGCTGCCTTCCCAGACACATTGGCAGGAAGCAGAATGAGAAGCAGAGCAGTTGGCGCTCAAATCAGCACTCACGTGAGGCGTGGATATCCCTAGTGGCCAGCCTCGTGCCGTCTTTCACACATTCAAATGTTCTGTAGCAAAAATATTTGTGTTAGCAGAGGTATACGTATATCCAGCCCACAGTTATTTGAAAGGCCTGCATGAGCCCTGGTTGGATAGGTTCTAGTGCAGAAGTTGTAAAGATTACTAGGCCTGCTTTTGTTTCTAGATTATATTTCCTCACAGACTGCTCTTAGGTTTTATCATTCTCCACGATCACCTTTGACCTTGCTTGTGATGGTATGAAGATCTCTGACTTTTGGTCTTAGGTAACGCCTGTCACTAGGCAGAATACTAGTTCATTGGCACACTCCATGTCCAAAATTAATAACACATATTAATCTGATTTGGACTGCACAGAAGAGTATGAAATACCTGAAAAACCACTCTAGATTTGCTAAAATGTCTTTGAAATGACAAGAGTCTGTGTATGATACAAGCCAGTGACACCCAATAGGTGGGCTGACTGACAAGATTTGATCTCCTTTTGACCGGTTTGTGTTAAACTCTGCCTCTCACAAAGCTGGTAAACTTCTGAGCCCACAGAGCAGCAGTATGAAATAACTGAATTTCTTCCAGTCATGTCCCCTCAGGTTGATGTGTAGACTTGAAATTTTCAAGAAAAACCTTGACTTCCACAAACCAGTGTAACAGATATCCTAACAGATGGGGATGGAATTGGGGAAGTGGCACAACCACGCACTGCAGGAGTTGAGAGTAGATTCTTGGGTGGATTTCCCTCTGGTCCTCTTAAGATCTCTTTTCACTGTTTTAAAAAAACACAGTGATTCTCCCCTCGTGGACCTGCTGCTGACCCATTTCTGTCCTTCCTGAAAACCTTCTCTTTCATGACCAACTCAACTGTTTTCTCCAGAAACAGTGGGTCTGACGATCCTCGCCTGGCGGAAGCAGTTGTTGCACTCTGCAGCTCACCCCTTTCCTGTTGGGTAATGCTTCACCGGTTAGACTGCAGTGGTGACTGGGCTGCTAGACTTTGACTTCAGAATAGATGACCTCCTTGCTTTTATGAGAGAACATGTAGATACAACTTGTTGGCAGGCACGGGCAAACTCTCCCAAAGGTGGACTAGCAAGCTAAGGTTAAATATTACTTCCCGCCTGGTTTCTGTTTTGGAAATGTTGACTTCAGTTGTCTCAACTGAAATAAAAATCATTTGAAGCTGTGATAGTCAAGAACGTATCCCAGATATGATCTGTTATTTTGAGGTGCTAAGGATATGGGAGACTCTAGGAAGTTGTGGTATAGAAAGACTGTTAGATTAGTTTAAAATATATTATGTGGTTAAGTAAGATCTTTCATTTTTTAAATGGCCTCTAAGTTGTCATATTTTACAACCATGTCTATGAAAGGGTTTTGTATGTCAGTATGGTCTTGTGCCTCTATTTTGACCTTGAGGTTAACATTGAGCAAGAGAGCATACGCATGTGCTTGCCAAAGTCAAGCTGAGCATGGCTCAGTTAGCGCAGAAGAACAGGGCAGACTGGGTGGGGCAAGCTCTGGAATCCTGCCCACTCCCTGAGCCAAGTCACGTGTTCAGGGGAAAGCCTGAGCTGAAGAAGTTAGGAAGTCCAGCCCAGCAGGTAAAACCTGGAACCTGGAGGATGTAGCAATCAGCCCAAAGCTAAGTTTGGGAAAGTGGTCCACACCAGAGAAGCAAAAGCCCTGACCAAGATCCGGAAACAAGAAAGCAGGAGTGGTCGCATGCTGTTGGATGTGTCTGAGCCACAGGCACGGCTTCAAGGGCAGGGCCTCTGCTTCCTGCCAGGCAATGGCGAGATGAAGGCAGAACTGTGAGCTTAAGAAGTCTCAGCAGTTCAAGACAAGTTCTCAGATATGAGGAAGATGACAGTGGGATCCTGTCCTCAAAGCTGAGGTACGGGAACCAGGCAGTGCTCAGCCACGACAAGGTCCCTGCTAACCTGTGACAAGCTGGCCTTGATTCTGAGTGAACTTCAGAGCCAGAAACTAGAGCTTGCTCTATTCCTGCAGTCTCCTCAGAACTGACCCTCGGGTTGGCAGCCAGGTGAGCCAGTCAAATGACCCAGCTGTTGTGAGGATCCCTGTGGAGACAGGGCAGGGCTCTGCTTAGCTCTTCACCATGAAAGCAGGCTCATGTGCTAATGAGACACAGCGAGAGAGCAGGAGGCTGAGGAGAGGGTCATTCTTAACGCTGGAACTACCTGGAAGGAGTAGCTAGCATGAGCAAGGACAAGTGCACTGCCTGCAGGTGGCTACATGTTCCTGGTGTACAACTTTCCATATTTGGAGGCACAGTTTGACCATGGCAAAGTTTAACTTCCATGATGGCTATGAGCACCTGCTGGGCATCCCTAGGGAGAGAAGAATCAAAGACAGTTGTCTGTTTGCTCTCTCTCCTAGCAAAGATGTGCTACAATGCTATTCAACCCAGCTTTGATTACATGTGGCTGGTCCTCCATAAGGCTCTGGTTTAGGGAGCACCCTCTTGCTGCTGTCTCGTCATACCTGCCCAGTTAGGAATCTCAGCCCACCCCTGCAACCAGCTACTTGAGAGAAGTGTTTTCTCGGAGCGCTATCTGTGGGAGCTCACATTCGTGTTGAGCATCTGGAGGACCCAGTTGCTGTGCGAATTGTCCCTCCACCCCTGACTCCTGCAGTTACCCATCAAATGCCTGGCGCTGTACGTAACAAGCACAGGTCAGCACCATCTGCCCCAACCTGGCTCCCCAAATGCTCTGGGAAGTCTTCCCCTGGCCCCGTTGGCAGAGGATGACTCCGTTCACAACAAAACTTCTTTATCAAACTCCAGTAACACTTGGGAGCCACTGTGATCTGGGTGCGCCTGGAGCCGTAATTGACGATGATCTGTGTCTTTTCCGGGATTATGAGCCCTGAGATAGCAAGGACTGCACCTTGTCAATCCTCTTGTCCTTCACTATGTTGACCAAAAATAGATGCTACGTTCTTGTTGCCCATTACGGGCAATGCTGTTCATGTTGATGAACATGTTCACGTTGTGTTCTGGTCACAGCGAGATGTCCTTGAACTAGTGCAAGTCGAGAAGTGCCCTGGGGTGGAAACCCTCCTGGAAGCCACCATGACCTGTACGGCAGGTCATAGCTACCCAGTCTATCCAGTGCTTATTTCCTATTTTAATTACATTATCTCATTTGATCCTCAGTTTTATAGCACAGGATTATTTCCACTGAAGGGAAACAGACTTGAAGAACATGACCATTTTTTTTTTTAGAGATATATTTTTATTGGAAAGGCAGAGATACAGAGAGTAGGAGATACAGAGAAAAAGATCTTCCACCTACTGGTTCACTCCCCAAGCGGCCTCATTGACCAGAGCTGATCCGATCTCAGGAGAGCTGAATGGGAAGTGGGGCCGCCAGGATTAGAATTGTTGGCCATGTAGGATCCTGGTACATGCAAGGTGAGGACTTTAGCCACTATGCTACTGAGCCAGACCCCCTAATTATAGTTGTTGTAAACATCTTTTATCATAATATTATGCCAACTTCTATCAGTGAAAGCAGCCTTCAGTTAAATGAACAATTGGTGAATATATAATAAACAATACATGAATGGAAAACCACACTTCTTATCAGGATGTGATAACATATCAGGGTCCTGAAATATTTTACTTCTTTTATTTTATTGAAGAAAGGGAGAGACAGAGAACACAAGAGGAGAGTGAGAGAGAAGAAAAACAGTGTTGTGTTGATTTATTCTCCAGAAGCCCTCAACAGCTGGGACTGGCACAAGCCGAAGTCAAGAAACTGGACTGAATCCAGTTCTTCCACATGGGTGGCAGAGATCCAAGCACTTGAGTCATCGCCTGCTTGCTGCCTTCCACAGTGTACCTTTGCGGGAGGCCCGATGTGGAGCCAGGACCTGCAACTGCACGCGGATGTGGGTTAAGGACACCCCAAGAAGTGACTTCAGGGCTACACCCAACAGCTATCCCTGTATATATTTTGTTCACATACCTGTAGCAAGCATTTGCAAGACCAGCACTACCTGCTGTCTTGTGTACCTCCCCAAAGTGACCCTTGGTTACCTCACCAAAAGTACATCATATGCTTGCAGATTTGGGTTAATGAATGCTAGTGAACACTTCAGGCAATTTGGCTTGGGATAAACTTCTCCCTCATTCCTTACTTAGAAGAAGGCACTTGGGCCGTGAGACAGATTGGGGAAGGCTTTGCAAGAAGGCTGCCTTCAGTAAAGAATTTGGAGAGCTGGAGTTTGAATTCTGGATTTACCATACACTAGGTACTGAAATGGCCCATGTTTGGCCTAGCATGGTAGCCTAATGGCCAAAGTCCTCACCTTGCATGTGCCAAGATCCCAGTTCTAATCCTGGCTGCCTCACTTCCCATCCAGCACCCTGCCTGTAGCCTGGGAAAGCAGTAAAGGATGGCCCAAAGCCTTGGAACCCTGCACTTGTTTGAGAGAAGAGGCTCCTGGCTCCTGGCTCCTGGCTCCTGGCTTCTGGCTCCTGGCTTCTGGCTCCTGGCGTCAGATTGGCTCAGCTCCAGCCATTGCAGCCACTTGGGGAGTGAACCAGAGGATAGAAGATCTTCCTCTCTATCTCTCCTCCTCTCTGTATATCTGACGTTGCAATAAAAATAAATAAATATTTTTTTTAAAATAGAATTGAAGCCAGCACTGTGATACAGCACATTGGACCACTTCCTGTAGTGCCAGTATATGGATACTGGTTCCAGTCCTGGATACTCCACTCTCAATTCAGCTCCCTGCTCATGTGCCTTGGAAGTCAGCAAAGGGCATTCCAAGCCCTTGGGCCCCTGCACACATGTAGCAAGCCCAGGAGAAATTCCTAGCTCTTAGTTTAAGCCTAGCCCAGCACTGGCTAATGTGGCCATTTAGAGAGTAAAGCAGCAGATGGAAAATTTCCATTTCTCTATTTCTCCTTTTTATCCTAACTCTGTCTTCAAAAAACAGTGGGTTTTTTTTTTAAAGTAGAATTCACTAAGTACCAAGCACTTTTCATTAAAAAATTATGCTTTTAAAACCATTTTGTTAATCTCTTTTTAAAAATATTTTTGTTAAGAAAAGATTTATTTGAAATAAATCATTGCAAAAAAGAGGGAGGCAAGGCAGAGAGAGAGACTCTATCTCTCATCCCCAAATGGTCACAATGGTCAGGGCTGGCCCAGGTTGAAGCCAGAAGCCTGACGCTCGATCTGGGTCTCTTCTGTGGCTGGAGAGCCTTCTTGCACTGCTTTTCCAGGGCAACAGCAGGGAGCTGGGTCAAGGATGAGCAGCTGGGATTCAAACCAGCACACACAGGATGCTGCTTTTGGAGGCAGCAGTTTAAGCCACCATGCTACAACACCAACTACTTTAAATGCCTAAATGTGTTGCAACAAACCCTTCAGCTTGGTTATACATCATTGTGTCCTATTTTCTAGATGAGAAAACCTAAGTTGCTCAATGAGTGACAAAGTTGGTACTCCAACCGTGCAGTTAAACCTAGGAGTCTGTGCTTCCACTGGCTGTGAGTCAGGGATTCCTACACTCCTGTGCAGCATCTTCAACTCACCATGGATCGCTAGGGACGAGCATCAGTTAACTGAGCCATTGCAATGGGTTTCGGTGTCCTTTTCCACTCAGTTGATCCTTGGTTCTGCATTTTGCTGTTAAATTAGTATAGTAATTGTATTACAGGTAATTCTGATGATCAAACTTACACAAGGTCACAGCAGATACAATGCTTGGCAGGGGCCACCTGGTGCTGCGATTGTTGGCATCAGTGTTTTGCTGGGGTCTCCTTGGTCTGCTAGAACAGAGTACATATTGGGACAAAGAAGAAATAATTGCTGGCCTGTGCCAGCAGTATTTGGAATGCTATTGTTCTCATTCTTCCTAGTATTTCTTGCACTACTGTCACCCAGTTTTCAGTCTTCAAAAAAGGAGGACAGAACACAAATAATGAACAGGTAACATCATTGCCCCATCCCACTAGGAAACCCCACTGGGGAGCATCGTTTGTACCTTAGGAAGGTGAGAGATGAGAGGGTTGCCGTGGTGATGCCTCAGAGCAGTGCCTTCCAGATGAGAGGGGCGTGCCCAGACCCCAGGCAACTCCTGGGAGAATCCTGCAGGAACGTGGCAGGCATGGTGCTTGGCTCTGCACAGGGCAAGCAGCCCCGTCTTGGACCCTCACTGGCAAGGACTGACTGCATTCGCTCTCTCTGCCCCATCACACAGTGGGTCACTCACCCACAGGCTTCGTGGCCCCACCTGCTTCCCAGGAGCCTCTGGAGCAGACTTGGAAAAGGCAGGTTCATGTCAGTCCTGGACTGAGCACAACATGCTGGAGACCGATATACTCTTTCAGAAACATCCGTACGTGCCCGTAGTATGATGGCTGAGGATGCTGGGGGCAAGCAAGCCAAAGATGGCAGACGCAGAATGCACACTTCTTTATACAGCATAAGCACCTGCTTTGAAAATTAGAAATTAGACCTATTCGACATTCCTAAAAGACAAGGAAAAACCAAGCAGCCCGTGTTTAGTAGTGTCGGCATCAGCATTGAGCTCACAAATACTTTTTTTGACTCAAATTTCGAAATGTTGAATAACAAAATATTAGAAACCAAGGGCATCAGAAATGGTAATTGGAGAGAAAGTTTTCATCACACCAAGGTTCCATAATTTATTTATTTTTTTGGTTTCATAATTTAAAAAGCACTAAACCACAATGTCCTTTGTGCAGTTACTTGCTTGGGTACCGCTGTTCCTGGAAGTTCCCATCAGAAGTCGGTCACACAGGACTGTCCACACAACAGGGAATGGGCTTGTTGGGGAGGATGTAATGAGAGATGAATGCATGGAGACTTTTCACCATAACTCTTCTATATATGTATTTTTATTCAAGATTTTTATGGTATCCTTTGTGTATGTTACTTTGATCTAATACCATATATATATATATAGTGTGTATATATTTAAATCATATACACACACACACTATTTTAGTCTGTTAAAAATATAAATGCAGTGTATTCATGTGTAAGTGTGTGCAAAATTCCTCTTTTAATGACCCTAAGAGTCCCTGGAAACTGTCAGAAGGTAGGTGTGGCAAGCATGCTGTCTGCTTGTTGTGCTGGCCGCCTCCTACACGCTCAGCATGACGTGACCTCCCAGAGGGGCAGTGTCTGCCAGCTGCCATCCGCCAGACTGAGCGGTGCCATTTATCTAAAGGCCCACATGCCAAACATCTGCTCTCATCCAGAGTCTCCACACGCACCCCAAAAAATAGTTTTAGCGTGACATATCAAGTTTCCATCTTTGCCCTGGCTTCTGGGGAGCCTGAAGCTGTATTTTGTCTTCCATCAGATTGTTGAGAGGTCTCAGCTTCAAAACGTGTGGGTGCTTGTTATTGATTGCCATGTGACAGATCACTCCAGACGTGGGTGCCTAGCATGACAAGAAACATGAAACACAACTCATGGGCTCTTGGGGTCGGAAATGCAGGAGCCTTCTGACTTGGCGTCCCTCAAGAGGCAGCAGTTACCTGCCACCTTCAAGGGATCTCGCTGGTGATGGGCAAGTTGATGCCAGCTGCCAACAGGAGACCAGCCCCGGAGCACACAGGCTGAGACCAAAGCAGGAACCATAGTGCCTTTTGTGACCTTGACCTCAGGAATCACACTTCTTATCTTCCACCACATTCTCTTGGTTAGGAGCGAGTCACTCGGTCCAGCATTCAAGGAGAGGGACGAGGGATCCTGCCTCTTGAAGACAGGAATGGCAAAGCATTTGTAGTCAGCATCAGAACCCCCAAGGAGTGTGATGAATAACCAGAATATCAAATCAGTCCAATGAGAAGGGAAAGGCAAGGGAGATGATGGGCAGGTGGCTTCTGGAAGGTCGGGTGCTCACTGAACACTGTCTCTGGCCCAGGCTCTGCACTCAGTTCCATACGAGTTCATTTTACACATGAGGAAAGTGAGACTGGAAGAGGAGGTGTAGCTTGCCCAGGGTCACAAAGCCAGTACCAGGATAGTATGTCAGCCTGAGGTCACAGCGGTGCCACCACCCTCTCCCAGGAAACACTAGAAAGTATTCCTGCGCCCTAGTATGGCTACCTTGACTTAACCAAAGCCATGACCATTTGGCTGTGGGGAAGAAACATGATTGATAGCCCATGTTGAATGAGTTCTGCCAGAGCTGTTCACTTTGTTTCCAAGCACTCTGGAACCAACAGGTGTGAATGCTGCGCAGCCATACCTCCCTGCCTTTTGCCTTGGACCCAGTGGGATCTGTCAGGCCTGCCAGGGCCACACCTCTCTTCCCATCACAGATGGCTGGGGCACAGAGACTCGTGGAGTTCATGGGGTAGGGTGGCACTGAGCACAGGGGTGTGTGAGGGCAAGGCCCTCCATCGTGTAGGGACCAAGTCAAGCCCAGCAGGGAGGAGATAGGACACCCCATGCCCTGCTGCCAGGCCAGACTGTGCAGGTCTGATAAGGCCCAGGACCCACCCGCCCAATGCTGTCATCGTTTCCCACACTGCTCTCCCTGACGTGGCTGTCACTCGGATGCTTTCCTCTGGGGTTTCCCCACAAGGAGATCAAGGGCAGGGCCAGCTCTTGTGGGTGACAGTTTGGGTAGCCAGGGGCTGTGAGAGAAGTGTGGATCCCACCTTCCCAATCCCCACTCTGCTTCTCAGCCTTAGCAGGTCCCTTCCCCTTCCGATGGAGACTGGCCCACGCTGTCCTTTCTGCGAAGATTTTGCACTTGAAGAACCTCGAGAACTCTGCTGCCGCGGCACATTTCCCTGTGCAGAGTTCTCAGATTGGAAATTTGAGGTGAAGTTGAAGTAAGAAGCGGGTCAAATGAGCCATTAAAGCCATGCTGCTATAGGTGGGCAGCAGGCGAGGGGAGTGACGGAGAGGAAGCAACCCAGCCATGCCTGAAAGTCAGCCATGATGCAAGGTGTGGAGATCACCAAAGATCTGGTTAACTGCTGGCTGCTCTCTGGGTGCGGCTTGCCTGCACGCAGCTTTTGCTGCTCCCACCCCACCCTGCTGGGTCCTCCACCCTTCTCTGGGTGGGCAACCTCTTCTTGAAGTGAAGGAGTCCCACCTACTGGGGCTTATCAGCAGGCAGGAGAACCAAGCAGCAAGCTGAGGGAGAAGGATCCAGCAGTGGGCTGCACTTGGCTTGGGCAGCGTGTGAGCGAGGCCAAGTGGCCTGGGCAGAACAGCAGCCAAGTGGGACAGAGGGAGGAAGCCCACAACCCACGGCTGTCTGTCCAAATCCCACCAGACCCCCTTTAAGGCCACCTGTTAGAGTCAACTCGAGCCCTGGCTTGTCAGCTGGAGCTGATCACTCCCCTAGATCCAATGAGACAGAGTGAATCCACACCGTGCCTGAAGGGCAGCTAGGAGTCGGTGCCAGTCCGTGTTACCTGCAGATGAAAAAAACATGCCAGACGCCCCGCTGTCTAGTGGCCAGGTGGTCCCAAGTCCCTGAGGGTGGGCAGTTGGGTCTTGGCAGGAGTCTACCCAGCGGAGGGAAGTATAAGAATGATTGGTTCAGGGCCCTGCGCAGTGGCTTAGCGGCTAAATTTCTCACCTTGAACGCGCCGGGATCCTATATAGGTGCCAGTTCTAACCCTGACAGCCCTGCTTCCCATCCAGCTCCCTGCTTGTGGCCTGGGAAAGCAGTCGAGGACGGCCCAAAGCCTCGGGACCCTGCACCTGTGTGGGAGACCTGGAGGAGGTTCCTGGCTCCTGGCTTTGGATCAGCGCAGCACCGACAGTTGTGGTCACTTGGGGAGTGAATCATCGGACGGAAGATCTTCCTCTCTGTCTCTCCTCCTCTCTGTATATCTGACTTTGCAATAGAAATAAATCTTTAAAAACAAAAAGAATGATTGGTTCTGCCAGTCCTTAAGGTGTCCCCGGTTCATGACAGCAGGTGCAGCGAAGCTTCACTCAAACTATGGCGCTCCTCCCACGTCCGGGGTTGGGGGGCGGGGGGCGCCATGACCACCTAATGAGTGAGGAACTGAGGAGCTGTGGAAACTCAACTACTAGCCCGTCACTCATAAGCGGAGCACAGGACTCAGCGGCCGTGGCTCCGAAACCCTGGGGCCACCCGGTCTCTCCCGAGAAAAGTTGCTCTCTCGCTGCCGGCGACCCCCGAGCCTCCGCCGCCCTGGCGCGCTGCCGCTCCGCCCCGCCCGGTCGGCGAGGACCGCGGCTCCCCAGGCTCGGGCGCTGCAAGCGGGCGGAGAGGCGCACGTGACGCCTGCAGCGAGACAGGCTTTTCCAGAACAGATCAGGTGCCTGAAACCAGGCAAGAGGACAGAGCCCGGCCCAATGAGAAGGCGCTGGACTGGGGGCGCCCAGGCTGTGATGGGAGCCGGCACACTCGACATCCAGGGCTGGAGCGCCGTGGAGTGTGGCAGCACAGAAAGTGTGTGACCTGCAGAAAGCAGCTCGCCACGGGCCAGCTGAAGGACCACGGGCCAGCTGAGCCTTGTGGGTTGTAGCATGGAGCTACCTTCCTGGAGGAGCTGAGGATGAAGGTGACACTCGTTTTGAGAGCCTTGTACCAGCGATCGCGTGCCCCAGCCGACCGTCCCCACCCCCACTGCATCCTTTCTGTGTCTGTCTTCTTTCTCTTCCAGTTTCACTCTTCCTCTCCCTCTTCCTTCTGCGTGACAGGTTGCCTCCACGTGGCCAGAAACACGTGGCTGAGCCTTGTGCTGGCTCAGGGAGGAGTCCCCAAGACACACCTGCTGATGGCCTAGGGACACTTCCAACAGAAAGCTTCCCCAGGTCAGTCAGGAACCTGTGACCCAAGGCTGCCACACCCCAGGCCAGAGCCCTCCCCACACACCCCTCACGGGGCACCTGCTCACCCTAACCCTCTCAGCACCCATCATCCCTCTCCCTGCACTGGGAGCTCCAGCCGCGTTCTGGGAAGGGGTCAGGGTGAGGCAGGAGCTGTCAAGGTCACTTCCAGCCGAGGGGAAGCTACAGACTGTCTCTCCCTCCTCCCACGCCCCCAGCCCAGAGGATGAGAGCCCAGGGGAGGGGGGATGAGGGATTACCACGCTTGGCTGGCTGGCTTTCTGCGTGCAGGGTATTGAGGCCGTCTAATTGACAGATAGTAAACACGGATAAAGACCTGGGCCAGGGATGAAGGGGGGTGGTCGGGGTAAGGCAGGCTGAGACACTGGGCAGGGTTGGCAGGGGGTGGGGGTGGGAGGTGGAGGGTCTTGGGAGAAGACCAGATGGCTCCCTGCCATGTCCCCATCTGGGCCTCAGCTAACTGGGAGCCAAGTGAGCCAAGCCTGATACACAAAGACCAGTGTGCACATGAAGGGGACCAGGGGACCAGGGGAGGGGTATGGCCCTGGGAGTGGGGAGCAGCCTGGGACTCCTCCCGGACGCCCCCTCCTCAGGCCCCAGGAGGAGAGCCCCAATGTCTCTTGCAGCATCTCCCACTGCCTTGCCAGCTCACTTGGCTCTTGTGAGGAAGGCCCTGAAACTGCTCCATGCCAGAGGTTCAGTTTTTCTGCAAGAGCTGGGGTGTGGGCCCAGCGCAGTAGCCTAGTAACTAAAGTCCTCACCTTGCAAGTTCAGGATCCCATATGGGTGCTAGTTCATATTCTGGCTGTTCCATTTCCCTTCCAGCTCCCTGCTTGTGGCCTGGGAAAACAGTCGAAGATGACACAAAACCTTGGGACCCTGCACTCATGTGGGAGACCAGGAAGAAGCAACTGGCTCCTGGCTTCAGATTGCTCTGCTCCAGCCATTACAGCCACTAGGGGAATGAACCAGCAGATGGAAGATCTTTCTGTCTCTCTTTCTCTCTGAATATCTGCCTTTCCAATAAAAATAAATAAATCTTAAAAAGAGAGAGAGAGAGCCTGGGGTTGCTATGGTGCTGCCAACAGTAGGAGTGCAGGGAGAGGCCCAGAGCCTGCTCACTACAGGGTCTCACTGCCAGCCCTGCAGCCCGCCCTATACCCCAAGTCCTAGCTCCTGCAGCACAGCATGCAGCTGAATGAAGGTGGAGAGGGGGCTGTCACACCCCCCGGCAGAGAACAGTTAGGTGTTGAGCTCCCAGTTCTACTTACTGGTGCTCCCAAGGGTGTCCAGCACCCTGTTGGACAAATTCCCTCACTTGGAAGAGGCCCCAAGGCTTAGCCCAACTGCTCCCCTGCGGCTCTGTCCATCCATGCTACCCTGCGTGGCTAAGTCCTACCCAGACAGATGGAGGACGCAGACAGGCCCGGGGACAAACCTCAGCCCTGCTGTTTCTGACTTGGAATGCATCACTTTAGGCCTCTGGCTCCTGGCCTCTGATGAGATGTAGAGCCAGTACCGCCTCGCAGCTTTGTTGTGAGGATGTCGTGGGATGAGGCGGTCCTGCCATACACAGGTGTCCAGGGAACTCCTCACGCGGTAACTCAGAACCATGTGACCACTGTGTGACCAGCCACCCCCTCAAGTCTCCTGCACCCAGTGTCCCTCCTGAATCTGTCGAACCGTGACTTTGCCGGTCCCTCTCTGGCCTCCCGCTCGGTGTGGCCTTCCTTCTAGCCTCACAGGCAGCTCTTCACACCACAAAGCATGACCCAATCACCCGCAGCCTGGTGGCCTACGACGTGGAACAGATGAAATCCCCCTTCGCCAATCAGCAAGGAGTTCATTGGTGACCCAGCCCGATGTGTCCACGCTTTCTTCCCACACTTGCCTGCAGCTGTCTCACTCCCACTCCCTTTTATACCAGGGTGTATGCTATTTCTTCCACTCGACATGTGGGTACCCAGCTTACCCTGCGGCGCCAAAGGCGACCCGCTGTGCACCAGGCACCGTGCCCATAATTATATGTGCCTGACCTCAGGTGGCAGAGACAAATGATAAGACTGAGGCGCCAGTAGTTAAATGTCAGACCTGAACTGATCACGCCTCTCCCCTGCTCCTAGCATCAGAGCTGCCTCCTCCATACAGCCTTCCTCTCCTGGGACTTCAGGGCACAAAGGGATGGCTATGAATTTCAGAGAAACACAAGGTTTCTGCTTAGGGCAAGTGCGTCATGAAGCCAACCATCGTGGATTCAGCAATTCTTCCATGCAAGGGATGGGTTTAGCTGCTGGATGGGGTTAGACATGAACTGAGAGCACTGTAAGTGTTGACAAGGATGGGGAGGAATCTGGGTCTCCGTATGGGTGCTACTGGGAACGTAAAATGGTTCAACCACTGTGGAGGGCAGTTTGATAACTCTCTCAGATAGTTAAAATTAGAGTTAATGTGTAAGAACGA